ATCCGCAAAAATTACCATGTAAGAAAGGCGCTACGATGCCGTGGCCTAGGTTTCTCACTGCGCGGGAATTCAAATTCTATTTTTTTTTCAACGCCGTTTTTCGGGGTTTTAGGATTTTTTTTTTGAATTTTTTCGCAATAATATTCGGAAAATAGATAACTTTAAAGGTGGGTGGACATGAAAAAAATAATGCTCTCGAAATTCCGTTCAAAGATGCCCCTCGAGGAGTTGAACTTGTGAGGACGATGATTGAAAGTGCGGTGCCGCAACCGACTGAGCTACGCGGGCAAAGAGAAAGCGCACGCCCGATTGCATACATAAAGGCGAGGACGACAGCTGTACGCAGCGTGACATTAAGCGTTGTACACCGTGACGGTAGAATGCATACTCTAGCTACAAAAAAACTACGAAAAATCTCCTGTCCCCCCACCTTTAAACACTTTTTAATGCAATAAAAATTTTTGGTCTGAGTCCCCCTTTAATTGAAAGAAATAACTTTTGACTCAACGTATGTCGTTTCCTGTTAGTCTATTAAAATAAGGAAAATTAACACACCGAATGTATCGATTGGTTGGACCTCATCTGTGTGTGACCTGTTTGTATACCATCTGTCAATGTGTTAGTGCGAGACAGTGGGACCACCAGAGACGAGATGTGCAAATATAAGAATGGTCCGTATCAGGCATGAGCCGAATTCCTTATTCCGTATTCTCGATTCTCAAAATTTTTATTCCGCTTTTGTCTGGTCCGTATAGATCACATAGGTTCTGCTTAAAATTTATTTTTTATCGCTTGAAAAAAATTGGGAAACATTTTTTAGCGATGGGGAATGGAAAAAAAGGGGGAATAAATTCGATTTTTATACTGAAAAACAAAACAAGGGATTGGTTTTTTTTTAAATCAGTTGTGTTGAATTCAAATGAAGCATTTTTCAAACAAAGAAACAAAAAACTTAATGAAAGAGCCTGACAACTTTAATCCAACATATCTCGTTTTCTGTGAGAGGTAACAAATACTTGTCAACTAATAAGAGTAGTCCGTATAGATCATATTGGTGCCTGACACAATTTGAGGACTGGGATATGGTATGTGTTGGCGGCGGAGCTACAGCTCGATTAAAAATGAATCAAATTTCTTAAAAAAGATTCCTGGTTGTCCTTCTGAGTAATTCAGCAATCAGCTACGCAAGGTTTGAAGGCTTTTTTCAAGCAAACTACGATCATTTATTGCACTATGTGAGAGCGAAGCATCTTTACGAAAAATTCATTCATTTCAACTAAAGGTTTTTCTGAAAGGTTCAAAGCATTTTCAGAAAAGAAAAACCAAGAAAAAAACCATGGATTACAAAAATTTTCAAAAAAAAAATTAACCAGACATTCATCATCCTTATCGGCGGAGCACTTCCATTTTCACAATCCAAATCTCTCGTCGGCTACCAGCATCATGGAGTATTGAATTGCCATAGGAGACGGATAGAATAGATGATTGACCCATTGAAATTTTGATGGATCTGAAAACATGAGTTGTTGGGGGAAGGATAATTGGAAACGCGCTCAAAGTACAATGAGAAACTTCATTTACCTACGATCCGACTCGATTACTTGAGCATTCCTCCTTAGAAATTTTATATATCGAGACGGTTTCTCTCTTCCAAATTTTCGAATTTCGAATAGCCAACTCGTCCCAACTGGCCTTCCATGTTCCAACCAAAATTCTATTAAACCAGCGACAGTATTCAAAGAAACCCTATTGATTAGAACTTTTTGGTTTGAAATCTTCATTAGATTCAAAGAGTCCATATCTTGTCTGATGATTTCCGAGCGAACAATCAAATATTCCGCAGTTGCCAGAGTTTGGTGATCCAACATTTGATGACTCATTTCGAAATTTAGAAGCTTCAAGGGGAAACTTGTACTGTCACATATCAACTTGACACCATCCAAGTTGACGGAATTATAGCTTCCCAGTTTTACATTCCGAACAAATGGTTTCTCTCCAGGCTGAATCCAGCGAACGTTTCGACTTGATATACTCATCGAATTCACAGTCCAAATCATTTTTCGATTACTGAATCAACACTTTTATTCCTTCATAAATTGTTGTAATTGTTGAACTTGTGTAAATCCTTATCTCTCCATATCCAGTAATGTATGTCAATTTTAAAGTGGATTTGCATTCAGGTGGCTCCTTCTCTTTCACAGTCTCCATCAGTCTTTCATATGCTCTCGTTGACCTGCTATTTTCGTTTTCCATACAAACATCTCCATTCATCATTATACAGTTTGTGTTTGCTGGAAATCCAAATTCATTTTCATCATGAATCTTGTTGATTCTGAACGGGCGATCTTCAATTGCATATTTTCGATCAATTTTGAGCTCATATTTCGTTTTGTTCTCGATGAACAATTGATTGTCTTCAAAAACTAGTTGGTTGATATTTAGACGAGCTTCTTTTTCGACTGAACGGAGAGCAGGCAGGTGTAAGGAGAGATGGAATCTGGAAAAATACTTATTGAAAAGTTATCTGGAAAGTCCAGAAGGCGTAAAACCTGTAATAGTAGTACATCTCGGTTCCTGTCAAAGATATCAAAAATTTGTAAACTGATAAACTGTTCCTGATTTCATGATAAACGATGGAGCTAAAAAAAATAAGCTCGCACTTTACGGACCTGCTTTTACAGGTTTTACGGTATTTTCAGATTTAGTTTTATTTTTTAATTCTAAGGACACCAGAAACATCTGAAAACAACCAACTGAATAGCAATTTTGCCGTTTCCGAATTCATACTCACCGAAAACTAGGGTTTTATGTACTTCAACAATTATTTAAAGGCACATTCTCCTACAGCAAAATTCAAATTTAAAAGTTCCAAGGTTTTCGGAAATAGTTGGTGATTCATTTTCGAATTAAAGGTGGGGGACATGAAAAAAATAATGTTCTCGAAATTTCGTTCAAAGATGCCCCTCGAGGAGTTGAACTTGTGAGGGCGATGATTTAGGGTGCGGCACCGCTACCGACTGAGCCACGCGGGCAAAGAGAAAGCGGACGCCCGATTGCATACATAAAGGCGAGGACGACAGCTGTACGCAGAGTGACATTAAGCGTTGTACACCGTGACGGTAGAATGCATACTCTAGCTACAAAAAAACTACGAAAAATCTCCTGTCCCCCCACCTTTAAACTCACCGAAAACTAGGGTCCATGTATTCGAAGACATTCCGGCTCAACTCCTTTTGATGTTCTGAGAGCATTTTTTATCTGAAATAGAGATAATAGGACAGATGGGATATGGGAACACGAGCAATAAAACTAATACTAAGTGTAAGCCAGGCGCATTTTCCCTGCGTCTCAACTTATTTTTTTCTGACAGCACGGTGTTCCGATCGGCGAAACCGGTTTAGTACACGTGGCATCGCAGTGGAGCGCAGAAGCCCAAGCGAAAATTCAGTTTTTTGTTAGTTTTTCAGGTTTAATGAAGGGCCCGGCCCCGGATAGGATTTTTACAATAAACAAGTTTTGCAGCAATTGAAATACCGTAAAATCTGTATTTGAAGGGCCCCCTTTAATAGAAGGGCCCTCCAAGAGGGGTTTGGAAAAATAGAAGGGCCGGCCCTTCTTAATACAGGTTTTACAGTATGTTTTTTTAAAAAAAATGTTTGAACACATAGAAAAATTATAACAGACGAACGAACGAGAGGGAAAAGTATACAAAAGAAAAATGAAAAGATCCCAAAGGAGGAACAAACTGAAACAACCATTCTGTTCGCCGCGAGTCTCTCTTTTATATGTTTCAGAAATGTGTGGGAACCGTATGCGGGAGAGTTGTATATGAGAAAAGCGAATAAAATATCAAAGGTGACAATTTAGAATATTACAAGAATTGAAAAGAAAGTCGTTCTTTTATAAAACAAGATGTTGAGGTTAATAAATGGACAAATGTGCAATGAACAATAAACTTTTATATCTTTCTCTTTCGCGTTCTTCTGTATCGAAATGATGTTCGACCACATCTACTGTGACAGTCAAAACGCATTTCCGAAGAATTTTTCAGATTTTGAGATTTTCTGGAAGGTTCTCGGAACATTTTTGATTTCTGGAGTTTATCCAATACTAATTTTTCTAACGCAAAGATTTATTGAAAAAAAAAACATGACTTTCAGCAAAGTTATTGGTCAGTTACAATGCAAAGGTAATTTTTCAAGCAAAACGTTTTCAAAAAGAAAAAAAAACAATGAAAAAGACAAATTAGAGAACATATATCCAGAAACTCAACATCGTTATCGTTGGAGCACTTCCATTTTCACTGTCCAGATCATCTCTTGTCTGTTAATAGCACCATGGAGTATCGGATCATCATAGGAGACGGATAGTATGGAGGATGGACTCATTGGCATTTTGATGAATCTGAAAATATCGTTTTTAGAGAACAGGTAATTGCAAACACGCTCTAATCACAATGAGAAACTTCACTTACCTACGATCTGACTCTATCGCTTGAGCAATCTCTCTTAGAGTAGATATGTATTCAGATAGTTCTGATCCTTTAACTCGAAAAGACCAATTCGTCCCAACTGGCCTTCCATGTTCCAGCCAAAGATCCATTAAATGAGCAAAAGTGTTTAGAGAAATCGGAGGGAGTCGAACTTTTAAGTTTGAAATCTTCATGAGTAGATCCATGGAGTCATAATTATAAAGTTGCGAGCCGACAACGAGATACTCCGCGTTTACAAGAATTTCGTGACCCAAGATTATATCGCTCGCTTCGAAACATAGCCAATTTAAGGGAAAACTTGTTTCGTGACATATCGATCGAAGACCATCCAAATTGGCAAAACGATAGCAGCCAAGCTTCATTTTTCGAACAAACGGCTTCACTCCAGACACAATCCAACGAAGGTTCTTAGTTGATATAATCATGAAATCCACATCCCAAATAACAGTTCGATTCCCGAACATCGTGGCTATTAGCATTTTCATTCCCTCATAAATTTTTGTAATTTTTGAGCATGTATAAATCCATGGCTCGCCATTTCCAGAGGTGATTGTCAATTTTAAGGTAGACTTGGATTTAGGTATCCCCTTCTTTTCCAACGTCTTCATCGGAACCGATTCCTCATCTCTCAAACTCATTCTTCTTAATGTATTTACATCGTAATTACCGTGATTTTCCATACGAACATCTCCATTCATTATTATATCCTTTGTAAATGTTTTAAATCCGAATTCATCCACATCATGATCTACGGGACCATTTCTTCTCAACGGAGGTTTCTCGATTTCATATTTTCGATCGATGCTGAGTTTATATGTAGTCTTGTTGACGGTGATTTCGTTATCATTCAAAATCAGTTTGTTGATTTTCAGATGAGCTCTTTTTTCGACAGAACGGAGAGAAGGCAGGTGTAGGGAGAGGTGGAATCTGGAAAAAATTAAATAATTTCTATTCAGATTTTCAAGAGATTTTCGGAAATCTGAGAACCCCAGAAACTTATAAGTTCCAAGGTTTTCGGAAATAGTTGGTGACTCATTTTCGAATTGATTTATCTCGCTTTCTCTAAAAGATATAAAAAACTTGAAAACAAGTAAAATATTGGTGATAATATGATAAACATTCTTGCAGTTGACAATTTTTTGATATCTCTCACAGGAGCCGAGATAATTAAACTCAAAATGCAAGCGTTTTTAGAGTGTAAATGCTGTGTTGGAACACTACTTCTATGAGCCCAATTATCTCGGTTACTGTAAGAGATATCAAACAGCTGTCAATTGACAAAATATTGGTGATAATATAACCAACATTTTATCAGTTAGCCCATTGTCAACATCTCTTTCAAGAACCGAGATAAATTTGGTCAAAAATCGGAAAATTTCTAACATTTGAGTGAAATTTAAAGATTTTATGTACTTCAACAATTATTTAAAGGCACATTCTCCTATAGCAAAATTCAAATTTAAAAGTTCCAATCAAAAAGTTGTTAATTAGTAAAATATTGGTGATAATATGATAAGCATTTTTGTAGTTAATAACTTTTTGATATCTCTTACAGTAACCGAGATAACCAAGCTCAACGTACTTGCTCTTTCTAGAGTGTAAGTCACCGTAAATGCTTTAACGGAACACCACTTTTATGAGCTCAATTAACTCGGTTTCTGTAAGAGATATCAAAAAGCTGTCAACTGACAAAATATTGGTGATAATATAACAAAAATTTTATCAGTTGGCTATTTTTTTGATATCTCTTCCAAGAACCGAGATAAATTTGGTCAAAAATCGAGAAATTGCTAACATTTGAGTGAAAATTGAAGATTTTATGTACTTCAACAATTATTTGAAGGCACATTCTCCTAAAGCAAAATTCAAATTTAAAAGTTCCAAGGTTTTCGGAAATAGTTGGTGATTCATTTTCGAATTAAACTCACCGAAAACTAGGGTCCATGTATTCGAAGACAGTCTCCCTCAATTCCTTTAGTAGTAGTGGTTGTGACATTTATCTGAAATGAAAATAATAAAATATGATGAGACATAGAAGAAGAGAAACTAAGAATCGGAAGCTCAACATTCACGAAAACTACTCAAAAGTGAAACAGTTAAAACTTGACAGAACTCACATCGATCACAGAATCTTCAGTTAAAAAATGGCGAAACCCATGAAATTGACATTGAGCCAATTGATCGGTGTTCCTGTGAAAGGTATCAAGAACTTGTCATTTGGTCAAATGTTTTTGCTATCATGATGAACAATTTATCAGTTGAGCACTTTTCGACACCTTTCACAAGTGCCGAGATAAATTGGCTCAAAGTCCTGGGTCCCAACAGATTTCCCAGTTTTTTCTCCTTCTTTGTCCCTAGCCAAAAGGTGATGACTGATAAGAAATAATTTTTTATCATCAGCCGTTTTTGTTTCTCTGATGGACATTGTTATACGTGTCACCTTGTGATGCTCATGAAGGTGTCAATTTAGAGAGCCTTGCAAAACTTGTGACTGAAAATGAAACTGGATGAGCACCTTCATTTTCTGATTTTCTTTTCTCTAGTGACTTCAACCTTTAATATCTCGGCTCCTGTGAGAGATATCAAAACATTGTCAACTGATAAAATGTTAATCACAATATCAGAAATATTTTATCAGTTGACAAATTGTTGATATCTCTCATAGGAACTGAGATAATTCAGATCAAAGTGCAAGAATATCCTTAAATGTGCAAGGCTCGCCTACAAGAAGAAATACAGTATCTTTGACCCTAATTATCTCGCTTCTTGAAAGAGTGACAAAAAAGTTATCAACTAATAAAATGTGAGTTATAAAAATGCGCACATTTTATTAGTTGATTACTTTTTGATATTTTTGCTAGAAACAGAAAACAATAGAATTGAAGGAAGAGTTAGTTAGAGGGTTCCTACACCCTGTTAAATTTAAGCCAATTTTTCTCATTTTCTGTAAAAGATATCAAAAAGTTGTAAATTAGTAAAATATTGGTGATAATATGATAAACATTTTTGTAGTTGACAACTTTTTGATATCTCTTACAGTAACCGAGATAACCAAGCTCAACGTACTTGCGCTTTCTAGAGTGTAAGTCACCGTAAATGCTTTAACGGAACACCACTTTTACGAGCTCAATTAAGTCGGTTTCTGTAAGAGATATCAAAAATCTTAAAAAAAAATCAAAAATCGGAAAATTTCTAACATTTGAGTGAAAATTAAAAGATTTTATAAACTTCAAAAAATAATTAAAGGCATATTCTCCTACAGCAAAATTCTTAAAATTCCATGCGCCTTTAAAGTTCCTTAAAAGCCAATTTTTCCATTTTTTTGCAGCTTCATTAAAAAAAAAGATTTTTATAGAATCTACGAATCGAGAAAAATGGGCTTCAAGAAACTTTAAAGGCTCATGGAACAGGAGGAGAAAAACAATATTAAAACTTCAATGAATATCTCTCTCGCCTAAACATTCAATTCGAAATTCCCGCGCTTTTCTGTCCCCGTCTATCCATCCCTCCCCACGAAAAATGTGTCAATATAGAGGGAAGAGACGCAGACACAGTGCCTAGTGTCTAACATAAATGATCGATAGAGAAAAGGCTATGTACGCGTTCTCATCGCTTTCGAATCGCGACACTCTTTCCCTCTCACGCCTGCGTCCCTCACTCCGCCACACTCTCTCTCCCTTTCTCTACTATAGAAAAGGAAGACGTGCCCGGCCCGTCGTTTGCATCGCGGAGCCTTTAGCTCCACGGGGTCTTCTCCTTCCGTTCTTTTCCTCCTCTCTATTCCCTACACTCTCTCGCTCTCTCACTCTCTCTCTCTTTTCAATTCTTTCCCATCGTCATCATCAATTTTTCGTTCGCTACTCCATTTTTGGCGGATGAAAATGAGCCCATTTATTTTAAATTGCTCCGAGAGCCTGAACTGCATCGTTTTCATTTAATTACGGTTGTGATGTTTGATTGGCCCGAGATGGCTTAATTTTTGCGCGGGAGATTTGAAAAAAGAAAACGTTCTAATATGTAGGGTTTTTAGTGTCTAATGTTTCAAAATATTGGTTGAATTTTTGAATTTTTAAAATAATTTCTAAATTCTCAAATCTCTGTGAAATAATATTTTAGAAAATTGAAATTTCGGCAATTTTTAAAAACATAATTCAAAATAAAAACTTTGAGAAAATTTGGAATCTCGAGGTTCTGAACTTCTTGAAACCTTAAATTCTTGGATTCTTAGTTTTTTGAATGTTTGGATTTTTAAAATTCTGAAATTCCCAGTTTCTCAAATTCTTAGACTTGAAGATTCTGAGACTCTAGGATTCTAAAATTTTGAAATTCTGAAATCTTTAGATTAGGAATTTTTCGAATTTTGCGGGTTTTGGATACTTGGATTTTGAGATTCTGACACTTTCGAATTCCGAAATTCTGAAGTCCTGGGAATCGGAAATTATGAGATTCTGAACTCCCTGAAGCCAATTTTCATTAGCTTTGTCCTGTTTAGCTTAAAAACAGATTTCAAAAATAGATTTTTATCAAAAATTCTTAATTTAGAAAACCACAAAAATGGAACCAGATTTTCTACGAATTAAGCCCTCTCTCTCTCTCTCTCTCTCTCTCTCTCTCTCTCTCTCTTTCCAATTAAACTATTTAGAAAAGGTCCTCTTTTGATCCTAGAAGACATCTCACGTCATCTCATCTCTCTCTCTCTCTCATCTGTTATGTATTGGATAAGCGAGAGAGAGAGAGAGAGAGAGAGAGAGAGAGAGAGGAAGGTCAAATCGATAAGAGAAGATAAGAAAAAAGGAGGCAGGAAGATTTATGTATGCATAATAGGACCTTTTCGTTATCAGCATTTTTATATTATTACTTAATTAGTGTAATTAAGCTAGCATTATCTATAGAGAAAACGTATACTAATTTCTTCATGTGGCCTAGTTTTCCGTCAGCTGGCCTAACTTTGAAATTTCTCGGTCATCCAAACAAATTCGTTAAAATCCGTTTCAGCTAAATAATTCCTTATCTCTTTTTAATCTTCCCTCAACATGACTCATCTTGTTTTCCCTTTTTTAAAGCATTTTCCCATTTTTAGTATTACTTCTTTTTTCTGTTTCGTCTGAATCATCGGAAAAAATTTACTGGCAAAAAATCCCTAAATTTTTATCACTTTATTCTTTAAGCTTAATTATCTTGATTCCCCTAAGAGATATCGAGCATCTGTCAACAGATAAAATATAGGAAATATTATCACAAACTTTTTATCAGTTGACTGAATTTTGATATCTCTCATAAGAACTGTGATAACTGAGCTCAAGGTGGAAGCGTTTTTAAGTTACCTTAATTGCTCATATCGTTTGTGCTTTAAGCCTAATTATCTCGGTTCCTGTAATAGATATCAAAAAGTTGTCAACTGATAAAATGTTCAGGAACCGAGATATCTGGGATTCAAGAAGCGAGTACTAATTAAAAGTTCCAAAATTCAGAAAAATCTAAACATCAAAACTCCCTTAAATCCATTTTGCTAGTGTGTGTCCTCCTGAATAAATGATATCCTTTCCCTGCCCCTTTCTGTGAGGGGGGTCGGTTTCATTTTCTTTCATATTCTTCCCCTTTTGCTTACCCTTATTCACAATCTCCATCTCTCCTATTCCTATTTCTTGATGTTCTTGTTTTATATATTCCGTTTCCCATTGAATGCTCCTCTCTCCCTCTCTCTCTTTTCGTTTTCTACGTCCCTTCTCTTACTCTTGATACTGACACCAACTAGTAGAAGACTTCTGATTCATGGACACACACACATACCCAAAGACATTCGGGTGTTCCCACGGGAACACCCGGGACCGAATACTTTTGGCTTCTGGAGGGTCTTGACTTATTTTTTCCCTCGTTTTGTTCTTTTAAAGGCGCATAGTATTCTTAGATTCTTATATTCTTAGATTCTTAGATTCTTAGATTCTTAGATTCTTAGATTCTTAGATTCTTAGATTCTTAAATTCTTAGATTCTTAGATTCTTAGATTCTTAGATTCTTAGATTCTTAGATTCTTAGATTCTTAGATTCTTAGATTCTTAGATTCTTAGATTCTTAGATTCTTAGATTCTTAGATCCTTAGATTCTTAGATTCTTAGATTCTTAGATTCTTAGATTCTTAGATTCTTAGATTCTTAGATTCTTAGATTCTTAGATTCTTAGATTCTTAGATTCTTAGATTCTTAGATTCTTAGATTCTTAGATTCTTAGATTCTTAGATTCTTAGATTCTTAGATTCTTAGATTCTTAGATTCTTAGATTCTTAGATTCTTTTTCTTGTCTCATTATTACACAAGAAATATTTAGTGCTGAGCAATCATCTTCTTAATTTCCCTCCCCCTGAACTACACGAAAATCCATTCATCACTTTGCGCTACTCAACAGCACCACACATTTCTTATTACACAATTAAAATTGTTTTCTCTGTTTCTCTAATTCTCTCACTCTCTCTCTATCTTTCTTATTAGCTTCATATATCCGCTTTTCGTTATCCTAGGCTCATGATGCCGCCGGCCGACTAGATTTGGTTACCTAGGCCGCTTGGTTTTTTGGCTATAACTTTGTTCAAAACTGGTCTACGAAGATGGTTAATATATCTATCGATAGGAAATCAAATTTTACACCGATTCAATAGAAGGTATATAGATTTGAATGATTTCTAATTGAGTTATGTTCCATTATCCTAAAATCCTTTCTAGACGCTTCTAGAGCCTAGAAGCACAAGTTTTGTGCCGTCTTTTTAATTTTGGCCTGTCTAGACAATTAAAAAAAACTTCAAATAACTCATAGTCAGTTTTCTTTTCTTTTCCCAATTCCCAGAACAAATCAATTTTTGCCCCTAAGCGAAACGCTAGGCAAACATGATTTATGGTAGTTTGTCTCTACTTTCTACCTGTCAACCAATCTCACTTCCCTCTCTAGGTTTTACCCTTTTACGTTTCTTTTTGAGATCTAAAAGCAACCTTATATGTTCCCACCTAGAAAAATTCAATCCAATTTTTAAATGAAAAAGCTAAAAAAAATGCGGTCGGCGGCACTGTTATCATTGTCCTCTGTAGCGAAGAAGAGTGTGCGGCAGCGTGACCGAGGGGTTAACTCTCCTGTTTTTGGATCTGTCACTGTCAAGTTCGATTCCACCGAGCGCCGAACTCTTTCCTTCCTTTTTTGAATTATTTCTTGAAGTAGTGTATTGATTCTAAAGTCATTTTTAAGCTTGGAAAATTCCATTCCTTCTGTTTTTGTCTCTAAAATCTCATGAATTTTAGAAATTTCTATATTTCCCTCCCAGGCTGGGAGTCCCATCCCGAAATTTCGCCCCCTCTGAAAGCATATACTATTGACATTTTTGCAAAAACGACGGGAAATATATAGATGAGGGGGTCCAAAAACGCATAAAAATCTTAATATTGGCCTGAGTACGCCCATTTACGAGCAGCCTTCTCTCAAGATATGGGTGGGGTAGGCATTTCCATTTTTTTTGGGACCTCCTTTCCCTTTATTATATATGCCTCTACCCCCCGAAAATATATGAATATTTAGAAAATTGCAGAAAATATTTTTTGAATTTTGAAATTTTTAAGTTTTTTCAAAAGTTTATTTTCATTAGCGCGCCCTTTCAGTTTCAAAACCCCTTCCCTCCTGTACGCCTTTCATTCCCTTCTCTCTATGCGACCACGTGGCCTAGTGGCTAACACTGGGACACAGGTGATTCGCGAACAATCCGTTACGGATTCTCCGCCATTCGCGCGCGGATGAAATAGGAATCGTATACGGACCGTACGCGAATCCGTAACGGATCCGTTTGCAACTTATTTCTTGAAAACCCTCGCCGTTCCTTTTTTCAGTTTCTATTATTTTTTGCTGAGTTTTCATGATAGTTGTAGACTTAGTATTCGGAACTTTATTAAGAAAACATGTAAAAGAAAGAAAAAACATCAGAAGTACAACATTAAGTTCGAAAATTTATCAAAATCCTGCTTTTTTGGGTTGTTGAACGATCATCCAAAACGAAAAGAGACCTGCAAAAAATTTGGGAATCTGTCAGAACATGTTGCATACTGATCACCTATTACTATCCTTTTTTGCTTTTGGGTTCCAATGTTTTTCTCGTTTTTAACGTTGGAGTCGGCTTGCTCTATAGATGTCCATTGCTGAAAAGTGTAAAAGTCATTGTTTCGAAAATTAGCGTATTTTATACTTACATTCGTCAAGCATCTTTCCTGGAGCAAACGCGAGCTTCGAATCAATCATTTTCGGTCATTTTGCTCACGAAAAGGTTAAGTGATACCTATAACAAACCCTATGTTTCGAAGAATTACCTTTGTGTTACAAACCTTTTTTCCTTGTAGAATCGTCTTTCGAAAAAAATCATTGTCAAAAATCAACATATTTGCCAGGAAAAGTGAGAGAAAACGGCAAAAAATAGGTTTAAAATGCAAATAAATGATGCAAAAATATGATGGAAGAGGTAAGAGAAAGCTAGTCCCTCACAACTCGGCCATCCGGAACGGATCCGTTCGCGAATGGGCATGGGAGCTATCTCTCGACCTCCAGCTGCATCCGTATCCGGTCCGTTCGCGAACTCCGTATCCTGTCCGATTGCGAATGTTGAAAAAACGGATCCGTTCGCGAACTCAGATTCGCGAAACTGCCCGTAACGGACCCGTTACGGATAGAAAACCTAGTGGACACCGAAACGGATCCGTTCGCATTTTACCTGTGGAGTTTTTGATCCGACCCTCACGAGTTCGACTCCTTGTTGCTCAAAATCTTCTTTTTTCCTTTTTTGATTCTTTATCCCCAAAAGGGCGCATTTGGTCCCTTCCCTAATTTATAGCCTTGCACTTTTTGGGATTTTAATTGAATTTTTCTGGAGAGAACTCATCTAGTGAAAGTGCTCGCGCTGATGAAGTAATCAGTGAAATGCGATAGGAAAACAGGGGCTTCTCAAAAAACGTTCTTGTGTAGGTTTACGAGCCGCTCGTAAATCTACTAGAGATTTTGTAAAGGTAAAGGGAATCATTCTGAGGAACAAGATATACCTTATGAGGTCCACCGTATACATGAAGTTTGAGCTCAATTATCTCGGTTCTTTTGAAAGATATCATAAAGTAACTAACTGATAAAATGTTTATCAGTTTATCACCAATATTTTATCAGTTGGTCACTTTTTTATATCTTTTACTGGAGCCGAGATAATTGAGTTCAAAGTGAACTCAGCAGAACAATGGGTTCTCTGCGTCTCTCACTGATCCATCTCTCTACTCGAAATCCTACTAGTTTTGTATTATAATGTGTCCAGTCGTCCGTTTCAAATCCATTCCGCTGACACCCATTTGTTTCCCTTTTGGTCACACATTTTGTCCTTTTTCGGATAGACAGACATACAGACAGACATAGAACTTTCCAGAAAACACCACAATTAGCATAGCTAAGGGACCATGGTTTTCCCCTTTTATGTAGATTCTCACACATTTCCTAGTCTTAATAATAATAAGCTCAGTCTCTCGCCTAGGAGCTTCCTCTCTCTCTCTCTCTCTCTCTCTCTCTCTCTCTCTCTCTCTCTCTCTCTCTCTCTCTCACTTTCTCCCTGGAGAAAAGAGAGCTTATTATTATTTTTTCGTCGCTTCTTCCATCATTTATTTTCTTATTTTCATTTACGCTTATTACTCCTCTCATTTTATTTTTACTGGAGAAATTTATGTGAAAGGATCTAGAACTTGAAAAAAACTGAAAAATCGTTAGTGGCACTTAAGGGACAAATGGGACAGTCTCATTATTTTTAAATGTTATAGTCTATTTTGTCTTGAAATTTCCAACATTCTGAGCCCCATATCGACTACATTCTGGCAGTTTTGATTTTCGACCATAATTAGGCCGCGGCCCGGCCGGCTGGCCCAAAATCAAATTTTAAGGATTATAGCCAATATTATACTCAAAATTTCACAAATTTCATAAGAAAAAATATAACGATATTTGTTTTCTCTGAACTAGGCCACTTTTCAAAATCACAGAATTTTAGAATTCTAAAAATTCGGATTTTTTGATTTTTGATTTTTTTTTTCTCCAAAAAGATTAATATTTTTCTTCTCTCTTGTCTAACACAAAAAGTGAAAAAATTTCTTCGAATGATATTGTTTTTTCTGCCTGGGATTAGTGTCTTTACTTCTTTTTCCCCTGCCGTTTGACAAGAAGAAACATGACAAATGAATTGGCATTCAGAAGAAGACGTGCGACAAGAAGATTCTAGTAGTAGAAGCATAAGAATTTGTTTCATTTGTAGAGTTTTGAGAAGACTAGGCTCTTGGTAAACTTCTCAAGCGCGCCCTATTGACAAAAGACACTTAGGGGACACATGGGACAGTCTAAAGATTTTTGAGAGCTACATTCTATTTTTTCATAAAATTTCCAACATGTTGAGCCCCATATCGACTATATTCCAATCAATTTGAATTTTCAGAAAATTTTGGTGCAAATGCGCTCCAATGCGAAAAGTGAAAATTTTTGAAACCCAGCCATGATTATACTTATTTTGTCAGCCTTAATTAGCTAAATTCAAATCTTCTAATTTTATTGCTCTAGGGGCAAAATAAATCGAGTTATGACAGTTTTAGTGGTGCTTAATTTTTGCTAAAAACCGTCGCTGACACTTAGGGGACAAATGGGACAGCGTAAAATTGTTCGAGAACTATAATCCAATTTGACCTTAAATTTCCAACATTTTGAGCCCCATATTGAATATATTCCGGATATTTTTAATTTTCAGGTGCAAATGCGCCCTAATGATAAAAAAATCAAACTTTAAGGAATATAATACTAAAATATAATACTCAAAATTTCAGAAATTTTGTGAGAAAAACAAATCTGTTGTTTGCTTTTTCAGATAACTCGCTCTATTGCACTTTTTTTCTCAATTTCCGTTTTAATCTAACTAACGTTTCCCTGCCTTATTCATTCGACACACATCAAGTTGGATGGAGCAAGTAAATTAATTCTCTCCCTCCCTTCGCTTTCCCACGTTTCCCTATTTCTCTAAGTCTCGCTTCTCTTTCTATACTCTCTCGATGTCTCTGCGTCTCTCCTCCCTCTTTCTCTCTCTCTCTTCCTAATTAATTCGACACGAGACACGAAGCACCCAATAATCCATGTCCTTTTTCCGTCCCGTTTCTATTGGTCCCCTCCCCATTTTCATCATTGAACAGGCAGAATTTTCAGGATGTCATCTGAAGCGGCTCCAGAAGTCGTCTCGGCCACGGCCTCCACAACGCCGGCGGCCACGCCCCCTTTGAAAGGGGGCGGAGTTCCGGGTGGTGGTGGGACAACTACCGCCGAGCAACAACAAGTCCCATTTCGTATGTTTCATTTCTTTCTTTTTTTAAAACAAAATTTTCAATAGTTTATCGATAAAATGGACGGTTTCACTTCAAGCGCGCTCCAATTGCAAATTTTGAGAAAAATGAAAATTTTTGAAACCTAGTCATGATTATACTCATTTTATCTGTCTTATTTTGCAGATTCCGAAACTAAAACTTTCATTGTTCCAAGTGCAAAATTAACCGAGTTATTGTAATTTTAATGAATTTAGTCAAATGCGCCACATTGCTAAAAATTAACATTTTTGGAACTAAACCATGTTTATACTCATTTTATCTGACTTGTTTTGCTGATGACACAACTGTTTTCATTGCTCTAGCTGCAAAATGAACCGAGTTATAACAGTTTTAATAAATATGACCAAGTGCGCCCCATTGAGAAAAACTAGAATACCAGAACCCAGTCTTGATTATACTCTTTTTATCTGGCTTGTTTTGATTATTCCAAAACTAACAAGTAAAATTTTCTAGGTGTAAAATGAACCGAGTTATGGCAGTTTTAAGAAACTTGACAATATGCGCTCCATTGACAACAGACACTTAGGGGACAAATGGGACAATTTCTGATAACATATTCAACTTTGTCATGAAATTTCCGGAAATTTGAGCTCCATATCGACCTTATTCCGATTATTTTGATTTTCGATCAAATTTACCAGTAGGCCGCGGCCTCGGCTGCGGTCGAAATTCAAATTTCAAGGAATATAGGCAATATTATACTCAAAATTTCACAAATTTTATGGAGAATCCGAATCTAGCACTTATTTTTGATAGATATGCGTCTATAGAAAAAAAAATTGCGGGGTTTTCCAAAAATCCGCAAAAAAATTTCGTGACTGTAAACAAGAGATACATATTTTCAGGAGGCTTCTCACTGGAATATTAAAAATTCCTCGTTTTTGGTCTGTAAAAA